TTTTTTCATGTTTCTTTATTCAATTATTTCCGATGATCTGCAAGTGTCCTTATATTTATGACCAGGAAGTGTATATTAGTATAGAGATGCTCGTTTTTTTCGTGATACTTTTGGTACACAAGTGGGGGTAGGTCTATTTAGATGGTTATGTAATAATTTATTAGACTACTAGATCACTGCACGAAATACTCTATTTTGTTAAAAATTACATCCTTGAACATGAATAAACATCCAACAGTATACTAGGATGCTCCGTATTCAGTTCGAGCATAGCACTCACGTGTGGCTAACTTTATTAAATCGGCCATACTCCTATGTGGGTAACTGCACGTAATCAACTATTCCTATGTGAACAGATTTATGAAATCGACCCACCACTTCTATGTGGCCAGAATTATGGAATTGGTTACCTGAGGCGAATATGGTCTAGATTTAAATAAACACCCCTGGTCTCGTAGAAAGTTTGTAAAAGGAGAGGCTATGACATACTTAATGACTTGAGTACTTTTATCAAAATAAATTCACGTTACATACATATATTTCCTTCTTTAAATAAAAATAAACAAAAAATTTTTTCACTATAAGCCTTTATTTGCTTGATTACATTTTTTTTGTAAACATGTGTTAATTTATAATTTTACATAAAAAATCAATCGATTATATAATAATGATTCACACATGTCTTATGGTTTGGCCAGCAAACAGTCCAGACTTAATTCCTATCGATTAAGAGAAAGGACGCCAAAAAATTATGAGAGTTTTTGTCAATTTATGTCATGATTAGGAATAGAATGGAGTTCAATGAAGAGAATAATGACAAAGAGTACCGCCATATTAAAATTTATCAATAAAATTGCTATTTAATGATTAATTCGTGGTCCGCCGATCAACAATAGATTTTTAATATGTAGATCCGGGATATTAAACATATTAAAAATTGATTGATGATCAAAACTAAAACTACCCATTTTTATTTTAAAAAAAAAATATATTCTATTACTTTTTTTATATTCCATTACTTTTTTTTTAAAAAAAAATAATAAACTGTTTATTTTATATCTATAAATTCTATAAAAAGTTATTTCAATCATGAATAATTTATCTGTGCAATTATTATCTAGTGGTATTATTGATCCTGATTTACATTATGGAGTAAATGCAAAGACCTGGTGGTTTCAAGCTTCTAAAAACTTAAACAATATTTGTTATTGGAATTCAATCTGTGTTGGAATGAAAACACAATTTATCCCTAATAGTAAAAATTTTATATTACATGTTATAAAAGGTAACAAGCTCAATGCAATTCATCCAGGATATTGTTGCCAATGTGATGAAATTTCAAGTTGAAAGTAATCCAACTGATGCTGTTTCCAATTTATATCAAAAAATTTTCCAAAGCTCAACAAGAATTTCTGGA